ATGAAGGGTGTTCTAGGGGTGCTTTTCGGTGCTCTTTCACGTGGACATATCGCAGCATGCGACATGTCAGCGGAACACTGTCTAAATTAATAAATACTGTTTTGGCCGATTTCTAAAAGCGTCTATAAAAGGGCATAAGTGCAATGACTCGTCTTTGTAACCCTGCGGCCTAGGCGTAGTTTTTCACGGGGAATCCGAATATCAAAGGTAGATTTATGTACAACATGTACTTTTTTTGCAACATGTACTTTTTATCTACGGGACATAGACATATGTAAAAACACACGGCGGAGCCGTTCCCGCAATCAGAATTTGTCTAACTCTTCTAGATCAAAAGTTATTCAGCGAAATGTGAGACTTTGTTTGGCATGCTCTTTTTTTAGGTGGTTTTTTCCGGTTTTATGTGCCGCCCGGCAGATCTGGCCTGCAGACTTTAGCAGAAAACTTGGCGCATGTGTTCGCACGACCGCTCCCAAAGTTTTACAAGCATATCTCCAGTAGTTGCTTCGCAATGATTTTTTTAGTGACGCCAAAAAACGCCATTTTCGCGGAAAATGGACACCTTGGACGGCCAAAATCACCACTTTTGGCCATGTTTGGCCCTGCACATCCAGGAAGCAAATGAGACTGCTCCGTATAAAAACTGCCCTAGGGGTGCTTTTATGCGCGCATTCCCGTGGTCAAGTCAGATTTTGGCTAAATTCAAATGCCTTGTCTATAAACACTTTTTTCGACCTAAATTTTCACCTGTTTTGTCCCGAAATGATAGCACCCATTCTTTATTTGCCTATATAGTCTGAAGAAGGCCACTGTTTTCCTGCCACGGATAGATGAACAATTTAAGTCGGCGATTTAGGGGATCAAGAACACTCGGCTCCGTACGAGCTACCCTCGGTTTCTAATGACTTTTTGAGTTAGGGAAGCGTGGATCTTCTTTTTTTCTTGTTTCCAGGACTTCACATGAACTTCCAACTCAACTCGAATTGTCATCCCGGGCCCACCGCGCATCGAAACGACACTTTTCTCGGAACTGGCGAATAAAAAATAGGTCACCAGATGCGCAAGAGTCTGGGATGACAGAAGATCGTAACACTAGCATAGTCGCTAGAACTTTTGTTGTCACTAGCGCCCTTTTTCTGGATTCGCGTACGTAATCGAGCATAACTTTATCAATTTATACCATATCGACCGATATCGATTGTCACGATAGTGTACTTTTTTTAGGCGCACATGATGGTAAAATGAACGGCCACCTATTCCCAGCCGTTCTTAAGTTATGCTCTTTTAAAGATTTTACTTTAGAGCTGACCCAGCCTCTCATTTCACTCCATTACATGCTCTTGTTGCTGAATGACGTGGCACAGACGCAGAAAATCATGGGTCGCAAGTCGAACATTTTTGAAGAGCGCATCGAAACGGACATTTTCTTAAAATAACATGGTATACAAAAAGTGCGTTCTTGAGCCTGTAGCAAACGATTTGCATCCATGACATCCCAAAAACTTAAAATAACATATCTCGACTCCTAGAATGAAATCGACGTGAATCCTTAGGGCAGTTAGTGTGTTTTAGTATCATACTTAACACCACAAAGTTTTACGGGGCACTCTACAATACTCTTCCCAAGACGCAAGAAAATGTTCATTTTGGGGGGTCCTCTAACGCGAACTTAATGATAAAATACCGCACTTAGTCCATAAAATACGAACTTAGGCACTATTCGCACTTAGTAAAATAACTTCTCGCACTTAGAACGGGTAATTTATGTAAATTACTTTATGGGTGACTGCTGAGTTCTAACAAAACTGAAAGATATATAATATAGCTGCTGGCGCGAGGTTACTTTTTCCCAGCTATAAAATAGATGTTAAACGAGTAGTCTGTAACTGTCAGCAGTACTCAATTCCCGTCAATCTGCTGTAGATTAACGGGAATTTTTGTTAAGACGACGTAAACAAAAGCGAGTATCTTTCTTGTGACGGTTTCCTAGTATATGTGAGGTGACAAGTCGGTTACTGAGTGTAATTTTGGAAATGGCGTGTGGGTTTCTAAGATTATAGTTGGTTTTTGAGGCGTTACTTTGCTGTTTAGGGTGATTTCTCGGTCTTATTTTAGGATAAGATTGAGTGAACTCTGGCGATTTATGGTTTTTTAGATGTGTCTTTGTAGGAATAGTTCTGCTGTTTCTAAGACGTGTCTTTAAGACATTCCTTTAAAAATCGTGCGTTATTATTGCTTTGGGGAAACTTAGAGCGGTTATTTCGTGCGTGCAGAAATTGAGGTTGTACTCGTATGCTCTGCATAAGAATATAGCTTTATTTGACGCATTTTATGCGTTGCTCTGGGTATTTTGCGCTGAAGCGATGTGGAATTGCTGACGAGTGTGTGCTTTCGGGATAGTGACCTGACTGTGTGTGCTTGGATGCGAGGAAGCGTTTGCTGACGTTGCGAGGTGCTACATCAACGCTCTGTCGGTGCCGGTGCGAAGGTGTGCTGCGGT